TGCCATTCTGCATTGCTGTAATGCAGAATGGGAACTGCTGTATAGAACTACAAATACCAGCTGTACTTTATACAGCAATGCCATCAATTGGGCTACAAAAAATAATAACTTTAATAACTTACCTTCACTTCTTCTGGCTGGTTTCTGGCGGGGGAGGCTGCAGAAAAACACACCAGTGTGGGTTGGGGCTGTGTTTGGATGGATACTGGGCCCCCCCTGTAGGCTCAGGCCCCGGTGCGGGAGCACCGGCCGCAGTTCCGCCACTGACTCACTACCTCCATGAGGTCTCTGACCCCATGCTGGTTATGATTAGCAGATTATGTGGATTGGAGCAACATTCACCATATTTATTCCCAGAGAATTTTTGTACAAGTCATTCTAAATTGAAAAAGCTGGTTGGGTGACCAGTGAAACGTCTTCAAGAAAAATACAGCAAGTCCAGTTGCCTTGACTTATTTTTTACAGATAAACCCCTTGTAGGTGTCTGCTTTTGGATGAAAGTGTCTGTATATGAGGTTTAACAGCACTAGACTTATCTGTATAAAAAACCTGACCTGCCATAAGTACAGAGTACCGGAATTGAAAGAGAGAAACAGGCAGAGAGACAGAGTTTACCAGACACAGAGGAGCGCTTGTGAGAGGATGGTGTGACAAGAGTGAGCTCTCTGAATAGCTGATGGAAAAAGAAGATGGTTTAGCATCTACCCACATGAGCTCACCCAAGCAGACTCCCTGAGCCTGGCCTAACACATAGAGAAACCTCAAGAAAGTATATACCTTTCCTTCATCTGAGTGCCGCACGCACTGGGTAAAAGGTTTTTCAAGATTTAGCTAACATGGGATCCTTGCAACATCAATTAAACGATATTCAACCAAAGGAGCCGTCTTTCATTCTGCCAAACAGAAGGGTGAGATTGCATTTTATAGCAGTGACTGTGTCTCCACTCATAAAAAAATACTATATTACCAAAAGTATTGGGACGCCCCTCCAAATCATTGGATTCAGGTGTTCCGTGACATTTCCTTGCTACTAAATATTCTGCGGTCACCTGTTAGTGGTATTATAACAAAGTGGAAGTAACTGGGAACAACAGCAACTCAGCCACGAAGTGGTAGTCCACGTAAAATAACAGTGCGCAGAAGTCGCCAACTGTCTGCAGAGTCAATAGCTACAGACCTCCAAACTTGGTGTGGCCTTCAGATTGGCACAACAACAGTGCGTAGAGAGCTTCATGGAACGGGTTTCCATGGCCGAGCAGCTGCATCCAAGCCTTACATCACCAAGTGCAATGCAAAGCGTGGGATGCCGTGGTGTAAAGCACGCCGCCACTGGACTCTAGAGAAGTGGAGACGTGTTCTCTGGAGTGACCAATCACGCTTCTCTGTCTGGCGATCCGATGGACGTGTCTGGGTTTGGCGGTTGCCAGGAGAACGGTACTTGCCTGACTGCATTGTGCCAAGTGTAACGTTTGGTGGATTATGGGGTGGGGTTGTTTTTCGGGGGTTGGGCTCCGCCCCTTAGTTCCAGTGAAGGGAACTCTTAAGGCATCAGCACACCAAGACATTTTGGACAATTTTATGCTCCCAACTTTGTGGGAGGAGTTTGGGGACGGCCCCTTCCTGTTCCAACATGACTGCGCACCAGTGCACAAAGCAAGGTCCATAAAGACATAGATGGGGGAGTTTGGGGTGGAGGAACTTGACTGGCCGCACAGAGTCCTGACCTCAACCCGATAGAACACCTTTGGGATGAATTAGAGCGGAGACTGCGAGCCCGGCCTTCTCCTCCAACATCAGTACCTGACCTCACAAATGGTCCAACATTCCCATAGACACACTCCTAAACCTTGTGGATGCCTTCCCAGAAGAGTTGAAGCTGTTATAGCTGCAAAGGGCGGACCCAACCCAATACTGATCCCTACGGACTAAGACTGGGATACCATTAGATTTCACGTGCCGATTTCAAGGCCGGCATCCCAATACTTTTGGTAATATAGTGTATATACAATTCAGTTATATAGCACCAAGGTCTTATACCTGAAAAAGGATCGCAAATGAACAGCCTTCCCAAAAGAGGTTCCAGTCTACAATACAACAGAAAATCCCTACTATAATATTACTAGTAATAGTGGTCACAATCCATTCACTAATACAAATATATAAAAAGCATAATTACCTTCAAATATAATATGATCAAAAACATATTTTATTAGGACATTAAAACTTCTATTAAAAAGTACAAAAACCCCGATGTGGACGAGTATTAAATATGTACCATTAATACAACCACATGCATGTGTTCTAGTTGAGGTTTTCCTGACTATTGCAATTGCAAAACCAACCAGTCAGCGGGACTATGTGATGGGTATCACACACTGGGCTGATATCTTCAGGAGCATCTAGCACATTGAGAAGTATTTACAGTAAATTCTTGTCAGGGAACCAAGTGCAGGTTAAAAATAAAAGGCGTTTATTGAAAATAACAATAATCAAAATGGCAAAAAACAATGGAGAAAGTCCAGGATGCCAGGTGCCAAGTCAGAGGTCAGAGGCTAAAGTGGAGTGGTAAGCCAAACCAGATCAGGGAACACTGAGAGAGCAGGACGAATGGAAGCAATAGTCAGGAACCAGGAGATCAGTCAGCCAGAGCCAGGAACATACACAGAGAACAGGAACAACAGCAGAGCACTTGGTAGATCTGGACACACGCAAGGGCGGAGACTGAATGGACAGGTTGATTGGTTAAATAGTGAACTGGTGTTGCATCATCACTCTGAGGGCGGATGTACACCTAGGCGACACCTCACCGTGCGGCAATCGTGCACGATTCCGTGCGGATTGCTGCGTGGTCAGAAGTCGCCTAGGTGTGCACCGATCGCGCTGTGGGTGCCATTATTTTATATGTAGATAATCACATGGCAACAACAAATTGCGATGTAGAACTTTGATTTTTCCTTTCCCAGTTTCTGGCTTAACTTCATAAACTGGGCTGTCTTTACATTTCCTTTTAAGAACAACATAGACAGTATATTCCCAATAGGATCTTAATTTCCAGGACCACCTCTTTCTGTAAGGTTTCTTACCAGTACTCTACTACCGGGTATTAGTTCAGCCCCATAAATCTTCTTGTCATAGTGTGCTTTACCTCTTTCTGCATTTTTAGTAGCTGTTTTTGAAGCAACTTTGTAGGCCTCATTCATTCTTTTTGTCCAGGTGTTCACATATTCAGAAGAGGTTTGATATGTTTCAGTTACTGGAGTGTCAAACATGCTATCAATGGGTAATCTTGGAGATCTTCCAAAAAGAAGATAGAATGGAGAATATCCTGTAGCTTCACTCTGTGTACAATTATATGCATGTACTACCTTTGCAAGTGAATTTTTCCAATCTTTCTTAAATTCGGGTGACATTTCTCACTAAGAGAACCTTAACATGTTATTAGAATATTATTTTGGGGGTGTCATAGTTTACATTCTTTACAATGGCACCCAGTCGCGCCGGGCGGATTGCGCGTTTTCCCGCTGCGATTCCGACCCGTGCTGCTTCCGAACACGATAGCGGCTAAAACAGCTGCCCGTCGTGTATCGCAAAAAACAGGTACATGTACCTTTTTTCTGCGATTGCTGCAGGGATGTCACCCCATTGAAATCAATGGGGCCGCGCGGCAATGGCTGCCTGTATTGTGCAGGGCCATAGGATCCCGCGACGCGCGATCCCGGATCGCGTAGGTCCGCACCGGGCCTGAGACAGAAAGTTGCCAAGAGTTTGTAAGTAGTTGCAGAATGATGATGTTTACGGGTTTGGTCATAAGAGGGGGCCAAAGAGGAATGAACAGTGTCAGACAAACTGCAACAGAAGACAGGCTGCAACCTAACAGGCCAAGGAAGGGTAAGAAACTCTACAAAGTGTTTGGACTCTATAGTGACATGATAATGCCAGTAACTTTATGTGGGGGTTCATATGCCATAGCGCTGGCCATTGAAGAGATATAACTATACTGTGCGCGACAGCATGCAACAACTTGGGAACTGCTTTATGCATAATCTGCCGGGTTTAATTTACATCTGTGACCAAACTGGAATACCAGCGGCTGTGGATGAGGAGTGTCATGTCGCGTGTTGGTGTTCATCAAGGACGTGTCACCAATGAGGTCATTTTCAGGCAGGCGCTGCAGTTGGCACTCTTGCAGGCACACTGGTTGGTGGCACTGAGTCCGGAGTGTCCATACTGCATTTAACAGCTTGGTGAATGCTTGATCAAATATGAAGGAAAGCACAAGGGAAGTCCTGGAGAGAAGAACAATGTTATACTCTGTATCTTGCTCACTTGAAAGCCTCACAGGCAAAATCAGGTCACTGCTAAGGCCACTCATAACATAACCCGAAGTCTGTTTAACTCTCCCAATTATGTGTTTGTTGTGACAAGCTTTTTGAATACAGACGTCACCAGCACACCAGCCCGACAAGACTTTTAGGTCAGTGCAAATCCATTTATTAATAGATGCCACTGAAAATATCAAGCGCTTTCGGGGCCACACAGGATCCCCTTCATCAGGCTCAGAGCGCTTGATATTTTGAGTGGCATCTATTAATAAATGGATTTGCACTGACCTAAAAGTCTCCCCATGCTGGTGCACTGGTGACATCCGTGGGATTATCCGGTAAGGAGTGCTACAAGATCTATGGACATTTGTTGTAACAAGCTGGGCCCATTTTCATAACCCAGGTCATTTGGGAGTCTGGAAGTGTCATATTATGAACATCTGGCACGTATAGACCAAAGTAGCATTTCAGCAGAATAAATTGTCATTATTCTGTTCAGAATTTAGCTTTTTATAATTGTATGGCATGGAAGCACTGAGAATGGACATTGGTCCGCAATGCCTATGAATGAAGTCCTAGAAATAGTTACCAAAAGTTGTAAAAAATTAAAAAAATGGAATGTAGATTTGGCAGCTTACGTACATCTTTCCTGGTCTGATGTGTAAATGTATATTTCAGAGCGACCGACCATACCTCCTCCCACCTGCACGCCTGATGTTCCTGTATGGGATGTGTCAAACTTCTCCCTTGTAGATGGCTGTCTTGTGAGGACGAAAGGAGAGGAGCAGGTAAATGTTTATTTTCTTTGAGATATAGCCTACTGTTCTGATAAATAGGGGTCCTTGTAGTCACATCCATAACCGGAGCTCTGGTCCTCTGTGTCCATATGGCTACCACCTGACCAACCTTGACTGATGGATCTCCATTCAATGTATTCATGCTTAAAAGCATCAAAGTGTGCATTGCTTCTGAGTGTGCTCATCTTAGTCACAATAATAGATTAGCCGATAGATTCGGACGACCATTTTCCACCCGGCTCCTTTGAATTTAATATTGATATTTGTGGACCTGGGTGGTGCCAACAGGACCACCCTCGGCTCGAATTTTGGCCGACTCCTCAGGAATTTGCTAAAATCCGTGCCGTGTATGGCCACCTCTACAGCACGCAATAAATTGTACAGTTTTTATAAAACAAATAATGTAAACATTCACAGCCAAAGCTTGAAAAAAATATGTGAACCCTTGTATGCAGTAGGCAGGGTAGAACCTCCTTTATTAATATCCTCCTTCAAACATTTCCTGCTGGTCACACTTTTATATCAAATACGTGAACTTTTTAGACCATTTTTCCTGACAAAACAGTTTAAATTCATCAATATTTCTGGAAATCTGTGCTCTTACAGTCAGGGCCGGATTGACTCTCTCTGCTGCCCCAAGGCCAGGTTCCTCAATGTGCCCCCCCATAGAGAATTGCAGACGAGTAGGCTGCATAAAAGTGATCTCGGCGACATCGCCAAGATCACTTGTACAAAACAAATGGCGGCTTCCCCACTGTACATTTAGCTCTGCTTGCCCAAAGCAGGGCTAAATGTAGAAAACAACTACCCTCCAGGCGCCGTAACTACATATCGCGGGTATCTTGGATAGGAATTCCACACCTCTGCTGCCCCTCTACTCCCTGCTGCCCCAAGGCCGGGCCTTAGTTGGCCTTGTGGGAAATCGGGCCCTGCTTACAGTAATGCTTCAGCAACTCAGCAAGATTGAAGTCTAGAATCTGGCTTGGCCATTTCAGCATATGTTTTATTTCCCTTTGAGCCATTCTGTTGTTGATTTACCCCTCTGTTTTGGAGAGTCCAGTTGGACTTTCAGTTTTAACACAGCATGAGCTTTGCTGCTTGGAGAGCATAGCATGGGGGAATATTGGACCTCTGCAGAAAGACCACTGCTTCCATACAGAGACCAAGGGTCCTTTGTCTACGTGCTGGCAGGAGACTCAGGATGTGCTCAGGATGTGGCTGCTTTGTGAAAAAAAAAGACCTGTAATAGTTTTCACACCTTTTGTTTTGATGAGCCTGGAATGCATTTAGCTGATATAAATTGAAAGTTCAGTTCGGGTTTTACGTTTGAGTTGTTAGACTTCTATCATGACATTCTTCTACAACATTTCTCTATACAGTAGTAAATTAATTTTTTTCCTCCATGACAGATAAGCTAGACAGGCCCCAAGGTTGCAAAGCACACCATGATATCTACTCCACCATGGGATGAGTTGTTGGTGTGTTCACCAGCACTGTGCCACCAATGAGGCCAGTTGTCCTAGGTGCAGCTCGGTATCACTAAGCATGATAAAAATCACTACCCTCTCCACAGCGTGACAGTGCTGCTGTCCAAGGGTGGCTCCGTTGCTCCTTCAAAGAGCGGAGCCACCCTACGACAGGAAGTGTGGCTGTATCACCAGGTAAAAATCAAGGGAGACAAGCCTATAAAAATAATTTTTTTGCTGCCACCACATTTTAAGTTAGCTGTAATATGTAAAATTATTGTTTTGGGGTTTTGATATGCTTAAAGAATATTTCCTCATTAGCCTTTATTACACCCCAAACAAATACCTGTGCAAAAACAAACATCTAATATTAAGGATGGGAAAATGACATTTTTAACATGACATAGGCTAAATGACATATAGGATATGGTTTGTCACTGGTATTAGCACAGTCATTTTACATTTTTTGAGTTCCCCCCAACATATTTCTATCATATATTGATGCGCCAAAAGATTAATTATTTTACTACTTCCTTTAATAGACCAGCAAATGTGACAGTTACTGGGGTTGGGACAAACCATTTAATTTGCTCTACTTAACAGTTCAGCTTTTTGTCCCCTCAGGGACAGATTTCTCACAAGGCCAACCAAGGCCCGGCCTCTGGGCAGCAGGGAGTAAAGGGGCAACAGGGGTGTGGAATTTTTATCTCCCGATGCCCGGGACATGCAGTTCCGGGCGCCGGGTGGGTAGTTATTTTCTACATTTAGTGGGGGGTTGGTGGGGAAGGGGGAGCATTGAGGAACCTGGCCTTGGGGCATCAGGGAGAGTAAATCCGGCCCTGTGCTCACTACTGTAGTGCCTTGGTTGAGTTAGGCTCTCCTAACCTGTCTAGGGTAAACAATTCCATAGCTGCCCCAAAGCCCTTACTGACCCACCAGTGGTGATTGACTTACTGACTTTCCATACTGCTGTTCTTTGGCTTGCAGGAAATTTAATCAGTAACTTTGGGACAGAGGGTTAGGGCACAGGACACCCATGGACTTGCAGACTCCAAACAAGTGAGAGAAAAAGTACTTACAACCAATTAGAGATATAGGACATTTAAGCCGACATTCAGTGAAATCAGTTCCTGGCTAGAAGATACTGAATAAATCCGCTATTGACTCCTTGGGGAGAATTCACCATACTTCAGTCAAGGACCAAGCTTCTATCTAGGTTCCTTATTCAGGCTAAAGTTTCTCAATGGCATCACCATCCCCAGGCTCTACATACTACTGTAGGCCTTGAGTCCAAGCACATTGTCACACTTCTCAGACAGTAGACCCAGGAGGATCAGACATACAGCTACCTCCCTACCCCAGGCTGGAAGCCCAAAGTAAAACTGGCTGGAGGCCTGGGAAGAATCCAAAAACATTGTCACCCTCCTCAGACAGCAGACCTAGGAGGATCAGGCATACAACTACAACTACATCCCTCCCACAGGCTGGAGGCCTCAGGAGAATCCAAGCACATTGTCACCCTTCTCAGACAGCAGACCCAAGAGGATCAGACATACAGCTACATCCCTACCCCAGGCTGGAAACCCAAAGTAAAACTGGCTTCCAAAGGTCATTTCCCAAATATTCATACTCTCTCCCAACCTGCACCACAGTCAAGGAACCTCCTAGTGGTTGGTCAGGGAGGTATAAACGTCCATAACTCTGATTAGTGGAACCTTCCACACCATGGCCAGGGACACTCCCAAACCAATCACCAGAGTTTAGGAGAGACTCAAGAAAGCTGAATTAGCAATCAGACTCAGGCTGACTACAGCCTGACAATTTCTTCATTCAAATAGACACTCTTGCTTGGGACAGAACAAGCTTAAAGGAGAACTATGAGGTGAGTGAAAATCACTCATCCTCATAGTTCGAGCCGACGCGTGACAATGAAAATGTCACACGTCAGCTCAATAGATCGGGAAGTGAGCGAACACATACCGTCGCTCACTCACTTCTCGATCATCTCCCTGGAGAGAGTAGTGACTGTCAGTCACCGTTCCCCGCAGGGATTCCCCCCCCCCCTCCCCGCTCCGATCTTCCAGCGCTGACTGGAGGAATGGACGGGGAGGGGGCGGGTACAACTGGCTCTGCCTCTAGATAGGCAGAGCCAGATAGTCAATCACGCAGCTGGGCGGATCTCGACAGTAATGCCGCGATCTGTCCCGGCTGCGGCGGTTCTCAGTATACAGTGAGCTGCAGCTCGCGATATACTGAGCTTTGGGTCACGGGTGGACGCTAGTATATGTCCTCCCGTGACCCTTAAGAGGACTATGGGGAAACACACTTACTCCATAGTTCTCTTTTAAAGAATACATTTTGTATTTTGCCCATAGTTCCACTTTAAAGGAATAAACCTTCCACGTTGGACCCCTTTATACATCAAATGCATTTTCTGAATACTTTGTAAATAATTTGCAGAGCTTTTTGGACGGGGATCATGATTGTGACTGATTATGCTTATTCCCTTGAATTGCTGTTTCAAACTCTGCCAATAAATGAGGAAGTTGGAACATTATCACAGATATTAGATAAAACGGTGTTTAACCTGTTCCAAGCTGAAAAACCCTTTATTTCTCTTTACCCCCCTATCCCCCCCCCCCAGGATGCATATCGCACCCGGAGTCGTGCTGGCAGTTGTGTGTCCAATGCCGATGCAGTGCTTGCAGACAGAGCAGAGGCAGGTAAGATGTTGGAATGTTCTGAAACGTGATAATTTGCAAGTTTCAGACTTACGATGCTCAGGAAGTGGAGACACAGGCATAGACTTGACTAACTTGTATTTCTGTAACCAGAAAGCAGGTACCATAACCTGAATGGTGGTCTGGCCTGTTAAGAGTTAATGCAGCAAAGTGGAATCAATCCACCACTTCCTTCCTGCAGGAAGGAAGCCAATTTAAAAGCTCTTTCATCAGCAGTAATAATTTCTGCATAAAGTTACTAAGACCTGTTCTTCAGAAACGTAATCACGTATGACAACATGGGGGACACAATATACAGTAACATTTGTAACTGGATGACGGTCATACACTGTAGTTGCATGGTAGATTCTTGTTGAGGTAGGTGTGCCATCCGTGACTTGAGGACTCCAGCTTTGTTCGAGAACAATGGTGTAAAAAAGGTCAAACTTCGGCCCTCCATCTGTGGTGAAACTACATGCATCTGCCTCTGAAAGTCATGCCTGTGGCTGTCAGAGTCTTGTAACACCTAATAGAAGTTGTAGTTTCATCACAGCTAGGGGGCCAACGTTTGGCTACCACTGGTGTAGGACATAAAACATAGCCAACCCACTTTGGGGGATTGGGGCTCCCCCTTGTTGGGGGGCTCCCCCATGACATGACTCCCGGAGAGAGATGCATCGTGGGATTTGTAGTTTCACCACAGCTGGAAGGCCAGAGTTTGGCCACCCCCTGCCTTATATGATATTGAAGTTTCAAAGTGTCAATTGTGCCTGGAGTGGCAAAACTATAGGCACCACAGACACTTTACAACATTGATATTTTATTAATGGAATCCCAATCTTCCAAAACACATTGGATATGTTTTAAACCAATATTGTATAACTATCTGGAATTCCCAAAACATTCTATTCAAGCACAGAGCTCCTCACCTACCTGAACAATTTTCACACACTTGGGATCCACTCTGAGGATCCTCCACAAGTTTCGTCGCCACAAACCTACCCACCATTGACATGGTCTAGTAGTATATCACACTTATACTTACACTATAAGGAGAATGTGTCGGGGCAAAAAGTAAACCTAGAGGTCCCTCAACATACCTGCAGCTGGCTCCAAAAGGCTGCAGTCATTGCCAAATCCTAAGCTGTTCTGACAGGTAAAGTTCTGACACTTTCTGATGGTGCCAAAGCTTGTCCAGCCCTTCCTGCCTTCTACACATTTCCATAATAATGATAGTCCCATCACAGTGATAGGCCAATAGGAAGGATACAGGCATTGCTCAGCCAACAATTTTCCTATTTATTATTCAAAGGATGTGAGACGGGAACCAGCAGCCAGACTGTGACGGACCCCCGTACTCAGGATGAGTATGTCCGCCGTTGTCTTCTTCCTTGCTGAGGAGATATTGGAACCCGCTGATCTGTAGCTCCCAGTTTCCCCAGTCACTAGCCAAGGCTTGAGTGTAGGGTAAACAAACTCTGCTTTATTGAGCAACTGCACAAACTTTTATACAGCAAGTGATGAAATCAGATTATAATCCCATCACATCCCCCCTCCCCTCCCAGACCATCGGTCTGCTCAACACCACAGGTGTCCACCTGCTAACGAACTCCAGACAGCCATAGCATAGCCTGGCCAGAATGTCATTGTTCTGAGCTCCCTCAGAGTACAATGGGAGATAACGAGGGATGGTGCTGATAGTCTTTACATAACCAGGTCACACAGCATAACGCACTCAAACATAACTCAACCCCAATACACATTTAACTTATAAACTGATCACCATGTCGTCACACAGACCACCTACCAAGCACCTTTTTGGCCAGTTCATTAAAGGAGAACTATGGGATCAGGGCTTTTCCCCATAGTTCTCCTAAGGGTAACGGGAGGACACAAACTAGCGTCCTCCCATCACCCAAAGCTCAGTATACCACGAGCTACAGCTCGTGGTATACTGAGACACCGCAGCCGGGACGGATCCCGACAATACTGTCTGGATCCACCCAGCTGCGTGAGTGACAGCTGGCTCTGCCTATCTAGAGGCAGAGCCAGCTGTACCCGCCCCCTCCCCCGTCCGTTCCGTCAGTCAGCGCTGGAGGATCGGACAGGTGAGGCGGGGATTCCCTACAGGCAGCCGTGAGTGACAGTCACCGCTCTCTGCATGGAGATGATCGAGAAGTAAGCCAGCGACGGTATGTGTTCGCTCACTTCCCGATCTATTGAGCCGACCTGTGACAGTTTCATTGTCACAGGGCGGATCGAACTATGAGGATGAGTGATTTTCACTCGCCGCATAGTTCTCCTTTAAGAATTGGTCTTTGCTCACCATAACTGCAACCTATATTAGTGTTTTCTTACATTTATAAAACAATATTGTGCTACTCCTTCTTACTTACATGCGTGTTGTACAATAAGTCTGTTATTCTCTACAATTACAGATCCTAATGCTGATGGAAATGCAGATATTGATTCAAAGAATCAGTTTAA